CGTTGTGCCTAACAACGCCCCTTAGCTGTTATAAATTCACTGTAAACCACGGCTTCACGGGGCTTACTGCTTTATTAGTGCACAGATTACTGCTTAAGACTTACATGTGAACAGTCACTGTTAATATAAATGACTTATAACTAGTCGTAGGACTAATCTATGTTTGCGTGAAAGGTGTTTGCGATACTTACGGCTGTCCATTCGGCCGCAGTACACCGAGAACACATCCAGCCCTCCTGTTTCGTGTCGGGATTAACGCCGTAACAACCTGAGAGAAACGAGAACGGAAACTTAGCCGTCTAGGAACCAAACTGATAATGTGCATTCAGATTTATTTATTTATTAAACATATTTTGTATGTTTCAACAGTGTACATTATTTACAAAGATTAATAGTTTCTGTAATTTTCCACCAACAACATCTTTCTCCTCAGTTTGATAAGTTTCTAATTTTCCATTAAAAAACAACTTTATTCACCTACATTTAATGCAAAAAGAATACAAGATGAAAGAAACAAAATAAGAGAGCAAAAAAAAAAAAACTAACTTATTAAAACAAAAATCAAAAAGAAACAATTGGAAGAACAAAACCAAAGAAAACAAACAAAACAAAACAAAGAATGAAGGGGAAAAAAGCACAAACGAAAATATAAAACAAAGTAAAAACAAACGAAACTAAAATAAATTAAACATGATATGTACGATTCATTAGCGTGTGTTACTTAAAAAAACAATGTAGGCGGGGACAAATAATAATAACCAATAACATCATAGCACACCTTTAACGAGCCAATCAAATCACAATTAATAAATCAAAACTGAAGGAAAAAGGCACAATGATAAAAGAACAAACGAATGAACAAAAACTAAAATATATTAAATATATTGTGCGCAATTCAGTAGTGTACATTTCTTTAAAAAAGAAAACTTTAAAACCTTAAATTTTAGGCAGGGACAAATAATAATAACCAATAACATCATAGCACACTTTTAATGAGCCAATCAAATCACAATTAGTAAATCAAAACGCAAGTTAAAGATGTCGCAAGGCTGTTTCAAATCATTACTCTTAAAAAAAAAAAAAAAGAATAAATAAATAACTTTTTAGATTTGGAGCAATTAAACAAGCTTACAAAGTGCAAACAAAATGAATACGTCACATTTGAGACTCGAGCATCACGCGAGAGCGCCGATGTCGAAGCCGACATCCCCCGTAATTATCAAAGTCACTAGAAGGCAAGCCTGCAACCTTTAGCCGAAAAAGCGTAACGGCTAAAGCTAACGCTTCCGGTTTGCCAGTACGTGGGAAAGGAG